CTATGTCTCAGATCAGCTCTGGGACACCTCAACCCTCTGCTTCTGATGGCATTTACCTGAATTTAGTGCTCAATTTTTGCACCCTCTTCTTCTCTGTGCCTGAGAGAGATGAATCAGATACAGGAAACATTTAAGTGTTATGAAAAATGATGTTGCACTCCTCTTTAAATCTGTCCTTACTGCCTCTGAATGGTCCATACGAACATATTTCAGTCAAGATATTAATTTTAACCTTTTGCTTGTGGCTGAACACCTTTCTTTGTCCTTGAGGTTTATTCAAATACCTTGGGCACAACTGGCCAAAGCTGCCTCCTAACAAATGGCAGCTTTCAAATTCAGAGGGAAGCTGTGAAGCACAACTGAGCTCTCTGGGCACTGTCTTTGGAAAACAATTGCATTGAAAATAACTCTTTGCCACCTTCTTTTTTACCCAGATTTATCCCACAGAGGGATTAATGCCCCCAGCCACCCGAACATGAAGTCAGAGGTGCCCAATCCAGCCCTGCAGCCGTGAAAAAAAGTCCACAGGCACGGCCTCTGGATGTAAGTGACTGAAACATCGATGCTCCCACAGGTCTCCATAAGCACAGCAAAAGGAATGAGCTTTGCAAATCACTGTTAGCTCTTGGCAGAGGAACCCACAGCAGTGCTCTGATACTCTGGGGTAGGCTGTGTCCCCTGCTCTTGGCTATGAGGGCACTGGGACATTCTGCTTTTCACCAGTGGAGCCCCAATGCCACGGATGCTGTGCATGAAGCTCAGTCCTGCAGCGAAACCTCTGTGTGGCTTCTCCACTGACTCAGTGCAAGACACTGAAGTGGTTTGTCGCTTAAATATGGTTAAAATCACTGGAGGACTCTTGTCCACTGTGGCAAACTGCTCAAAGAAGCAAATGCTCACCGAAGTCCATTCCTACCCAGACACGCCTCCTGATCTGGACTGTGACAGGAATTTGAGATAAGATAAAGGTGGTACTACTGCCCAATTATCCCAAGAGAAGGATATATCCACAGCAGTGAAAGACTGGAATGCTAATGGCTCGGACAATCAAGGTGAAAGCTGAAGGCCTGTGAAGTAACCACCCCAGGCTACCAGCTGGATAAGATAAGGAAAGAGGGAAATCCTGCAAGGAGGGTAGTGTTTCTTGTCCTTACACAAATGAGGAAGGATGAAAGCGTGGGGCCAGCACAGTTAGGTGGGCTGTTCCCCGACCCTTTTTATGCAGCAGGGTATTCACACTCACACAGAAACGCAATAGCATTGCCCTGGCTTGGATGCACATGGGTATTTGTGGGTGACTTACTTCACTGTCACCCAGCTGCAGCTTCAGTAAAAGCACTGAAGCCAATGAACTGCATTTTGAAATAAGTATAAACAGTGTTGCAAGCTAAAACCTCAGAAAACATGTCCAGAAAGGATGTGGTAAACATCTGTCAGCCTTTTTTTTTTTGTTTTTAATACCCAGGGGAAGTACATTTCATTACTATGCATAATTGCTGCTGGCTTAATATTTTCATTGAATAATTGTGTATCCTTCGTATTCTGAACCAGATGAATGGTTTGTGAGAGTTGTTAGGGAGATTAGACTGCTTGCAAATAGTCCTGGCATCCATCCATTCTGTTCTCCTCTCTAGAAGAAAAACCCAAAACTCATCAATGAGGGAAGATCTCTCCAGAGGGACCAGTTTCATAGCCATGGTTTATGGAGTCACAGTTGTTCTGGGGACGTTGAATCACTCAAGGGAAAAACCAGTTGTTAATGACTAAGAGATATGCCATATATTTATTTCAGAAGATTTTGGGGCAATCCAGCAGTTCTTTCTTTTCTGTCTTCCAATATGACTCACCACATGAAAAAAAAAAGGCAAGGAAAAAAAAAAGGAAAAGCCATCAAAATCCTTATTGCATGAACAATATTAAGCAAACTTACAAGAAAGGATTACGGTCGTTTGGATTTCTATTAAACTTAATATAAGCTAAAAACTTCCTGTCCATATACAGCATTATTGTTTGAACTGCAATATTTCCATAATGTACTTTACCTGAAATTATGTACATGTTCTCCAGCTTGACACGATTTTAACCTTGTCTTTGAAAACTGAATGAGGCCATGTGCCAAGAGGACAGAGGCACATATCATTAGGTGTTTGCAAGATGGGTGATTGTGTCCCACCAACCCTATTTGTTTTGCAAAGAACCTGTTTTGAAAAATCTCCTGCCCTACTCCAGGATGAAGCGGTCATTAAGTGAGGAGTAAGAGAGAAAGCCATTGCACAGCACCTAAATTAGACTTTGCATTTTGTGTGATTTAGGTCAGGGTTTTCAATACCTCAGAAAAACACATTTTGCGTTTTTTAGACAGAAGGAACAAAGAACTATTATAACTCAGCTAATTTTTCTAGAGTTAACTGAGGTACCTAAGGTGCCTTCAACTGAGACCATACTGCTATGATTGGTATAGAAAGAAGCCCTACAGGGAGACTTGCTGACCAGCTCTCTGGAGAGTGTGTGTGTTCATGCATGTGTGTCTGCACCTATAAATGGCTGACCTCCCAAAACAACCACCTCAGCTAAGTCCCTGCAGTGGTGGGGGACAGCAGTGAGTTATCAGTGACCTTCCTGCCACAACAGGGCTAAGAACAGTAGAGAAGCACTGGATCTACGTTTATATAATTGGTAGCTGCTAAGAGTCTGCAGACATATTTTACAGATCTTGTCATACCAGATAGACCCTCACAGCCCCGATGTATGGTTGCAAATAGCATGAGGTCAAAGTGCCTTGGGCTTAAAATTTGCCCAGGTGACTAGAATGCGTTTGGTAACCAAAGCTTTTCCTTCAGTTTTGCCCTCAGAAACTACAGTGTGATGAAAGGTGAGCCTCGTTTCTCCAGTCTGGTATTTTATTTCTCCAGTCTGACTTGTTGGGCATTTCTGTGAAATCATGGACAGAAGTACAAGATTTGATTCTTTTCAAAATCAGCAGTCAAAATCTGATCATTAGGTTGCATCTGCCTGTACTACTCCCCATGAGTATGTAACTAACACATGATTATAAAGGAGAATTAGCAGCGATCGGATGCTGTGCCCAAACAGTTAGCCAAAATAATGCAAGTAGAGGTAAGAACTAGAACAGATATGGTAGAAAGCTTCTATGGTTTTGCTTTTGCAAGATGCCGCTGGCATGAGCTAGATAACTCTGGTCTATCAACTGATATATTACTTCCATGTCAAGTGACCATTAACAGCTGTTATACAACAAGACAATTGCTATTTTATTATCTATTCATTATATTTTCATAAAATATAATCCTCTTGTACTTTCTACAAAATAAATAGCAGGGTAATAGATATCCCATAATACTAATGTAATTATTATGTTTGTGGTTTTTTGTTTTGGTTGTGTTTGGGTTTTTTTGTGGGTTTTTTTGTTTGTGTTTTTTGTTTTTGTTTTTGTTTTTGTTCTGCAAGAGCAATATGTCTTGAACCATTCAAAGTCTCAAAAGCAGAATCACCGTGTAGGAGTAAGTGGTTAATTACATTGAATAATGAAAGTGCTTCAGTTCAGACAGACCTGGAACTGAAAGCAATGTAACCACATCAGTGCTGCTGCTCATGAAGCCTGATTAGCTTAGCAGAACAGACACAGTTTTCCAGACTAAGTGCATATCCATCCAATGTAGATATTCCAAGTTAGACTGCTGATAGAGGCAGTATTTGCATCTTATATACAAATGTGTCCTAAAGCCCAGAGTCATCTCTCCTGGCTTCAGGCACTTAAAAGAAATATTTGCTAGAAGCATATTTGCCCTGGCACTATTGTATACTGGACGAAGACAAAAAGACACTTTCCATTCTCATTTACATATTTGGTGAATTCTAAGACACAAACTCCTGTTTTACTTAAGTGCTTTGAAAATACCGTTCTTTCTTTCCAAGTTCACCAGTTTTCAACTCAGATTCATAATTAAAAGTTGGTTATAATTTCTTCCATATGGCTCTCTTACAAATCTGTCAATTTATATATAATATATCATGTAGTACATGAAAACAAAAATAGCATGTGAAAGCTTTGAAGCATCTATGTATTCTACATGGTTTGGCACAGAAATTCAAGGGCAGTGCATCAAAACCAGAAAGTGTTTCACATAAGCATTTACTCCGTGGTGCTGTCCAGGCCCCAGAGTCTATTTGAAGCATTTTCATCTGACCATTTTCATTTCTGGAGCAACAAGCAACATGCCAGCTATGGACAGTTTCACATTTCTGAATCCCAAAGTCCTGTGGTAAAAACAGCCACACACAAGAGAGAGGAAACAGTGTGTCGGATGCGAATTGTACAGAATATTTTATGGTGAAGTAATTAATGTAACTTGTTTAGAGAGGGACTCCAGTGCTCAGTGTTTGCATGTTGTGTGGATAGGAGAAGAGTTAACTTCACAGGGCACTGCTGCTGTGGGTTGGCTTCACCCTGACCCCAAACCCACTGTCCTTGTTCTCGTGGGCATTTCTTCAGGATGCCACAAATTGAAAAGTCCACATGGCATTCCATTGAAACACAGACCTTAATCTCAAAAAGGCAAAATAAAGGAAAATAAAAATTTGGAAAGGAAAGGCTGTTGATGGGGACTTATAAGGACTCTCAGTTAGTTGAAGCTCAGCACTGTTCTAACAGATTCACGTGGCCCTTGGCCACCATAGCACAAATATATGGCACAGACCTACTAGCAGTGGATCAGACCTTCCATTCTGCCTGGAAAAATGTCCAGTGGAGGCTGGAGTAGCAACTTTCCTGGAAAAAAAAATCCATTTGTGGATGCGTTTCCCTGCAATTCCCTCACCCTCGCACCTAGGATCGAGGTAGGTTGTCCATCCCACTTCCTCATATCCTCTCCATGGCCCTGCTGGTAACACCACAGGCTACCCTGTAGTGTGTACCTTCCATATCCTCTTTCTTGAGCAAGTGCACATCTCCTGTCCACTGTAGAGATACAGGGCCTTACAGGTGGGGAGTAGGACATGTTCTCTCCGCTGGAATTCCTGAGTCATTTTATCTGTCAGTTCACCTGGTACCTTCTCCACAGCTGTGACGATGATGGAGGAAGGCATTATGTCTTCACAGTCTCAGTGCTGCCAAATCACGTCACCCACTGTTGGTGGTGCTTCATCTTCCCAAAGCAAGGGGTTGGCATGGTGCACTCTGTATAAATTACTGCCACGTGTTGTTGACACAAGACCTCATCTGGATCTGTGGGAAGCTGCACATTCTCCGGGTCAAAATATATAGTTTCTCTCCTGGCTAATTCCCTCAGGTATTGAATACCTTTCTCTGCTGCAGTCCTTTTGCCCCAGTTACATGGAATATCATCTTCATACTTGAGGAGAGTCACCTCCAGAGACTCAGGACTTGTGTCTTTTTCCCCATGTCTTTGTCAATGCCTACTTCCTCGGCAAGTCATCTCATGCCTGGTTTCTTTACCCTCTAATTCCACACTGTTGGCTCCTTTGTGCCAGCACTGGGACATACACTTATGTATTACAGCTGAAATCTTTTCATATTGCCCTCAGCTCACTCAAGGATAGGGATCGAGGAGTGGTTATCTCTTCTGTCTGCCTCCTCTTCCAGTTCCTGTGATGGCCTTGATGATGGCTCTGAAACTCATCCTTATGATGGTCCTTCTTTTCATCCTCTCTGCCTTCTTTGATCTCCTTGTCCTTCTTGACTATTTTTGCTGAAGTTTTTTTACAGGGTGACTTACGTGTGCATTTCTTTTGTTGGGGTACCAGGACAACTGACACCACCGCCTGTTGATTTTCTGTTCCAGTGGTTTCAGTGCCAGTGCCTGCCCCTGGGGCTGGAGCAGCTATTGGGCCTGTTGTCATCTCATTTTCAGATTTAGAGACCTTCTCTGCCTCCTGAGGGTACTGAGCAGTGTTAAACATGGCTCAAAAGTCCTGGGCCAGGCCCTAGCAGTGATCTGGGTCCTCTCTGGGGTGCCAGGGTGACAACACGCCTTGTTAAAATATTATTCTAGTGTTTCTGGAATCTGTACTTGTTCAGGGCTAAGGTGCAAACTTGTTTGGAAGTGCCCACTGCACTAGAAATTTGCCCATACAATCCCACAGACCCCACCACCCTGACCTATCCAGCTTTTGGGCAGATCTCTGGGTGATGTTCTTAATTATTTGTCTGACCTTAATCAAGGCCTGAACCATATGCCACAACATGATGTTTCAAAGGTAGTCAAAGGATGTCAAACATCTTTAAAATTCTCGACTACTGTAATCAGCCTGGAGGACAAGGACAGAAAATAAGAGGGGAAAAAAGATATAGGAAGGCATCTCCCCCATAGGTTGTTTCTCTGAGGAGAAAAAACCAATGGTGTGATTATTTATCATCCACAGTAGGTGACTCCCAAATTACAGAGGTACCTGCAACACTGAATACACATACCAGGTTGGTGTCCTGACCAGTGACACACACTACCATATCATAAGCCCATCCTACGAAATCCACTGCAGAGAACACACTGAAAATAAGGTATTATCAGCATAATAGAGATAAAATGCCACAAATATGATAGCAACTAAATCCACATTATAACAAGCAACTGTTAAACCAATACAACTGATATTTATAAAAATTTTCTTTTAACACAGTCCGGTCTGATCTTTTGTTATCTCAGCCTTTTGTGCCCCACACTGGATGCCAAAAAGGATTGTTGTGGTTTAAGCCCTACTGGGAATTTAGCACCCCACAGCCACTGACTCAAACACCCTCTCTCCCTCCCCCCCACTCAGGTGGAATGGGAAGGAGAACTAAAGTAAAACTCTTAATTTGAGATAAGAACAGTTTAATGATAGCAAGTAAAGTAAAATACAGTAATAATGGTAAATTATAATAATAATAATAATAATAATAATAAAAAGTGAAAAACTAATGCAGCACAGTGCAGTTGTGCATCACTCCTGAGCAATGCCAGATCCCCCTTCCTTCACCCAGATTACCCCCTTCAGGGTAATTCTCCCAAGTTTATATACTGGGCATGATGTTCTGTGGTGTGGAATGTCCCTTTGGTCAGCTTGGGTCACCTGTCCCAGCTGGGCTCCCTCCCATTTCTTTTGCTACCTGCCCAGTGGGAATCCTTGATGTAGGATAAACACACCTTAGCAAAAACCCAAAACATCGGTGTGATATCAACACCATTCTCATTCTGAATCCAAAACACAGCACTGCAACAGTTACTGAGGGTAAATTAACACCATCCTGGCCAAAATCAGGATGATGAGATAGGAGTAACGTGGGAACAGCCTGGCTTTATGCTGTGGCAATTGCGTTCCAGAGATAACCCTGCACAGACATGAGAGCTCCACTGCACTTCCAGGGCTGGAAAGCTGCAGTTGGATGTGTAGCTGCTCTAGGTCACATTAATTGCAGTTTTCCCAAGTGGAAATCCCAAAAGAGAAGGAAGGAAGCCTCCCGTGGGCTTCGTTTTTGAGTGAGCCAGGTCAGCTTACAAGAATATGAAAGGAAATTCTTCTTGCCAGGACTCCACAGAAGGAGCCATTGGGATTTCCTGTTAGGTATTTGCTTGCTAGCCATGAAATACACTCCAGACAGTACTTATGTAACATCAGACATTTGTACTCTTCTCTACTTCTTCCACAATCCCCTGTCACTTGAACACATTCTGAGAGTTACTTCAACCTGGCTGGGTCCAGAGCTGACTATGGGAGAGGCTGTAACCACTGTGGTTCATTCTGAAACCAAATTCCTTAAATATTTGTTTCAGGTACATTACCAGGAATCAAGAGACTCATTTTCAATTGCATTCTGCCTGAAAATTAATACCAGCTGGAACCCCACATTGCCATTTTAATGCTCCGCATACTCCCTGTAAGAGAAAAATCCATTTCTCAAAAATATAATAAAAGTATTTCACAACCTGAAACCTTGAATGTCAGAGAAACTTACAAAATCCATTGTACTTTCCCCTCACAGCCTCATGGCTGCTGACTTTTACCTCCTTTTGTGCTTTAAGCGGTTTAAAAAAGGTGATCAAACATCTCCTTATAGCGAAAAAAATGAATAATGACTATATATTCTTCTTCAGACAAGACTTCTTCCTGTGCCAAGGATCACAGCAATGAGCAACGTGGTAATACTGCGTGCCCACACAGGCCTCCTCACTGCCTTTGGTCTGTGCCAGTTGTACGCAGAATTAAAGAGAGATTAGTGCGAAGCATAAACTTTGAAAGCAAGCCTTGACACAGATTTGTTTGGCTGATTGCTTTTTGCCTATCACACCCTTTATGCGGGGTTATGCTGTCAGGTTTGATACCTGTTGGACTGTGTCTGAGGATTCCTCCGGCTCTCTCTGCACATGAACTCACAGAGGGCTGGGCTAGCAGCCCCTTCCGAGCCAACCCGGGCTGTGTTCTCCCAAACTGGACAAGGAAGGTGCCCTATCAGTGCTGCTGCTGTGCTGTTCCACCCCCAGGAACTCAGGGTTACCCTCTGGCACTTCCCCTCCACGATCCAAGGAGGATAGAAGGAACCCAAGAGGTGAAAACCTTCCCACTCCCACGGCAGTGTGCAGCGCTCCCCGTGCAGGCACCGCGCCAGGACACCAGTGGAGCTGCACTTTAACCCTCGTTATTTTTACAGCATTTCTTGTAATTGTCAGAGATGCATCAGATGTTTATCCTTGATTGTGGTGGTTTGATGTTATCTGTTCAAAAGCTGAACTGTGAGAGCCGAAGAAAATCAACTTTTTTGCATCGCATTGTAATGAAAACCTCTGCCACGCCACCTCAGCCAACTTGCACGCTAGCACATAGGTCATTTTTTAAATAAAACTAAAAAGGCCCAGTGGAACTGCCTGTGCTTTTATTTTAGGCACAATAGGGACCTAACTGTCTTGTAGGATCACAAAGAAAAAATAAAATATGTCATAAATACAAACACCTTGGCACCTTTCCACTGCCTAAGACAATTTACAAAATACTTCGAGTGAATAAAACATCAGTTTGTAAAACATTGGCTAATTTTGTCCTCAGATTAACAATTAAACAGGAACTACCTCTAATTCACTGTAGACAAGCAGTAATTTAAACAAACTTTAAAGTTAGGGCTTATTTACAGTTTGTTGCCTGGTCAGTCTGAGGTCTTCTGCATAAAAATTTGTTTTGCAAACTACAACAAGCCCCAGTCTCAGTAGGCGGGTATTTCTGAACAGCATGGAACCAAACCAGGGACATCTGTCCATCTTCCTAAATCACATTTCTTTCTGCATTACTTAGGTGGGCATTACCAGCTCCTTTCTCCCACAAAAGTGCCCAGCAAAATGATTCATAAGCTGCAGAAACAAAATGCAAGTCCACTGCCTTTAGAATAAATGAATTTCAATGCCACAGGTGCTTCTGAGCACAAGTCTTCCACTTGCAATCACAAAAAACAATTCAGATCTTTCCAAGTTCCTGGTGACCTAGACCGTTTTAGGATGTCCCACATAAACACTAGGACATCTTCCACAGCAACCAAATGGACTTTAATTGGAAGAGGTAATCATAAAATCATAGATTCAACCAGGATGGAAAGGACCTTGATCCAACCCCACCGTGGTTGCCAGACCATGGCACTGATGCCACACCCAGTCTCACCTTAAACACCTCCAGGGATGGAGAATCCACCACTTCCCTGGGCAGCCCATTCCAATGCCTGATTACCCTCTCTGTAAAGAATTTCTTCCTAATATCCAACCTAAACCTCCCCTGGCAGAGCTTAAGTCTGAGGCCTCTTGTCTTACTGAGAGTTGCCTGGGAGAAGAGACCGACCCCCACCTGGCTACAACCTCCTCTCAGGGAGTTGCAGAGGGTGCTGAGGTCTCCCCTGAGCCTCCTCTTCTCCAGACTAAACAACCCCAGCTCCCTCAACCTCTCCTCACAGCACTTGTGCTCCAGTCCCTTCCCCAGCCTGGTTGCTCTTCTCTGGACCTGCTCCAGCCCCTCCATGTCCTTCCTGCCCTGAGGGCCCAGAGCTGGACACAGCACTCCAGGGGTGGCCTCACCAGTGCTGAGTACAGGGGAAGGATCACTGCCCTGCTCCT